CGTGAGCTTTGGAGAAAGCCTTACTTTACCCCTGTGCTAGACAGTTACACCTTAAGGAACACAGCTGAAAACTGACTTGGCTTCAGGTGCGATTTGTCACTCTGCGTGCCGTCTCTGAAATCCTCTGCTTCCCTCCTCTTTCTTGACCAGCTGTAGTCCAGCGCTCATCCTTCACTTTAGTATTTAACACAGGCGGTTTTCTATTGGATTGACGTCACAAAGATGTTGATGTATGCCAGGAAGGCAAGCGACCAGCAGAAAAACTGGGTGTCTAAGTACACCCCAGATTTCATCTCTGTCAGATCAGCTGGCTAAGACTTTTTTTTTGATAAGAGAACTAACTGAAGGCAGTTAGAATGGTTTCTTTTGTTGAAGTTTCCTCTCCCAGAGACCAGTCCCAGGAGTCCCTTCACCTGCATTATCCATTAATGCCGTGGGTTTATTTTCCCCAAATAAACAAGCGTTCCTGCCAAAGAAAATAGGCAGCATGATTGGATGCGGGGATGAGTCTTGGGACCTGCCTTTGAGGCGTGTTCTTCATTTTTCTGGGTTGGCCCCCGGTCTCCTTCCAGGACTCCTGCTGGCAGGGGCAGTGTTGCAGCAGCCGTTGTTTCTGAAGGCCTCTTGTGCTGTATGAATCGTGCCCATGGCTGTCCAGCCCTCTTGAAAGCATCCTTCATTTCTTTTTGCTCAGTTTCCTAAATGCCTCTTCCAGATCATCTTTCACCTCTTGCTTGAGGCTCTGGGGACACATGTGGTTTCGACATAATGCACAGATGTGACTTGGGGGAGGGAAATTACAGCTGTGGAATCACATCAGCTGCGGTCACTGGACTCTGAAATAGGGGAGGTCAGGAAGGAGGGGAGGCAGAAAGACCAACAGGCAACCTCAGGCTCTGTAGATTTCTCCACCCGCCACGAGACAGCGCACTGTGGCGTGTGTTTTGCATTGTAAGGAAAGCATGAGCTACACAGCTCATGTGGACCAAATCACCATAAATATTGCTTGTGTATCTGATTCTAAATTGAGATATTAAGCAGAATAAGGGAACAACGACCAAAACTTCTAAAGGGAAAAGACCTGGTTCTTTATCCACCCAGACGTTAATCACCAGGGGTCGAAAAACTTTTTCTGTAAAGGTCTGGATAGTAAATATTTTCACCTTTGGGGACCATATGGTTTCTGTCACAACTGCTCAATTCTGCGTTTGTAGCTCTAAAGTGGCCACAGACCAGTGTGGTGGCTGGCTGTGATTTGCCCACCTCTCACAGTCTAAATTCATAAAACTTGCAAACGTCCTCATGGTTGTTGTTTGCATAAATTAATGAGTGCTCTGTATGTGGCCAGGCCCTATACTAAGTACTTACTGTGAATGATCACATTTATCCCATTCAGAACAATTCTCTGAGGTTATTAATAGTATTATACCCGTTTTACAGACAAAGAAGCAAAGGCTTAGAGAAGTTACATAACATAGCTAAGGGCCAGACTGGATTTTGAACCAAGATAGCTTAACTCCAGGCTCAAGCTCTTTACCACTACACAGCACAGCCTACGGTACCTACATCATTGGCATTCACGTTTGCTTTTATGCTTTTAGGTCTTGACATTAACCAGTATTTGGACTTTAGCCACCACCCGCCCGCCCCC